ACTAGAAGGATGTGCAGCTATGACATACAACTATTTACTGGGGCCTTGGGGGGAAAATAAAAAAAAAAAAAGAAGCCTGTTCTGCCCATTCTTTCCTCCATATTATCTCTCTTAAAACTCATAATATAAAAATCATGTTTTTTGTTTTTTTCAACAAAGACTGAAAGTCATGAATTAGTTTTTAAGTCACAGACAATGCAACACTATTGTAATAAATGTCGATGAAGGTTATCAAACTGCTGTATCCACTTTGAAAGCTAAGCTATGTCACAGAATAAAAAACTAGAAAGTTTACTTAAACAGAGATAGAGAGCAACTTTCTTAATGATGGAGCAGTGTATCTGAAATATGCAAAGAATAATATTACACTATAACTAACTGCCTATGAGAGTGGAAACAGGAATTGAAAAGTCCAGCTATCAACCTAATATACAGCTTGTACAGAGCACTGTCCTTTTTGCATACAATTGGCACTATTTTTCAAACTGAAAATGCTCATTAAACAAATAAAAATCATATAATTAATACTTACAGAATGCAATAGGCAAAAATTTAATAATTATGCACCAAATAATGCCAATTATATAAAATTCTAAATAGTTGGTGGAAAACCTTGGTTTTACGGAATTCTGCTACGTTAGTAGAATGTTAAAAAGTATACATAATGTGAATTTACAGAAGTAATAATTTTATACTAAATACACAACTGTCCTCTAGTTTCGTTCACTAATATTACAATACTTACTTTATATAATATTGTAAATAATTTTACTTGGAAAAACATTACATCATTTAAAGTGGAGTTAGAATCGTTTGGTTCAACACAAGGACAGTCTATGTAGTGCCATCCCCGTCAGCACCTTGTAAATGGGGTTAGCCCAGCTCTGAAAATATTTACTTAATAACGCAGTCATGTCTCACATCTCCACGGGTCAGGCTTCTTGCTACATCAACACTGAAGAAGTAGCTGAGGACCCAACAGCAAACCAAAAGACCAACAAGTAGCAGAAAAACTATCATAAAGCCCATTCACCAGGCCCCATCAGCCCTTGCTTTTTATAAACCATTCTATCGAACTCAGTAACTGGGTTCTCTAGCCACAGCAAATCTAAAACAGCAAGTTAGGGGAAGAGGAAGATGAGAAGGAGCAAGGCAAGATGAGCATGTCCGTGGCAATGAGAACTGGCAGCAAGGAAAAAGGATAAGAACTACAAAAACAGAAAGAGATCCATAAATGTCTAATAATATAGAATCCCAACGATATAACACAAACAGCACTGGAATAAGAATTATAGTTCCAGGACCACACTAAAGTGAGGGCCCTTAGGAAACCTAGTTATTCTGTGCCTCATTTTCTTGTTCTGTATAGTGATCATACAATATAATGTGTTCTTCATTACACTATATCTGATAAGCTTTTACTGTTTTTAAAAATGGCATTTAAACATTTTTTTACTGATCATAGAAGTATATTGTACAGAATTTGGAAAATACTAAAAGTGTAAAGAAAATTAAAATTGCCTATACCCAGCACCCAGAGATAACTTTCATTTACACCTCGCTGCATTTTTTTTTTTCGGGTATCTTCATACATAAATATGTACATATATATTTTTTGGTAAAATTTTTATTAACCTGGCATTATTTGTGGGCATTTTCCCAACTCAAGAGGTCTTTGTAGAATTATTTTAATGGCTACATATACCAAAATTTATTCTCCTATCAGTCAGCCCTGGGGGTGGTCTAGTGGTTAAGATTCAGTGCTTTCACCACCATGGCCCAGGTTCGTTTCCTGGTCAGGGATCCACACCACCCATCTGTCGGTTGTCATACTGTGGTGGCTGCATGTTGCTGTGATGCTGGAAGCTATGCCACCAGTATTTCAAATACCAGCAGGGTCACCCATGGTGGACAGGTTTCAGCAGAGCTTCCAGACTAAGACAGACTAGGAAGAAGAACTTGGCCACCCACTTCCAAAAACACTGGCCATGAAAACCCTATGAATAGCAGCGGAGCATTGTCTGATATAGCACCAGAAGGTGAGAAGACGGCGCAAAAAGACCAGACAGGGTTCCACTCTGCCGTATACAGACTTGCCAGGAGTCAGAATCAACTCAAGGGCACTAACAACAACAAATTCTCCTATCACTGCAGACTTTGGTCGGTATAAGACATTTTATAAAGTATACTATACTGTATACATGACAAGTCATTAAAAAAATGATCACTTATAAGTTCTGGATACAGAAAGGAAATTTTTCAATGAACAGCTTACCAAACACCAAGAATTTTAAAATTGTGGTTTGTAAAACTAGATTAGCAAATACAATATTTAGGCCCAATGAACAAACAAGACATTTAGAGAACCTAGTACCTATGTAAGTTTGGAAATGATCATTGTAAGTGATTTCTGACACCAGCAATGAGAGAATTCCCATTAAGAGAATTCTGGATTACTGTTATTAAATTACAACATGCTAGTAAAGTAGCACCCATTAACGACCCACAGTCATTCTGCTCATTCATTCATTAAGCAAATATTTATTGAATTCCTACTATTCGATAGGCATTATACTAGGCTGCATTAATATCAAGAGCCTTCTTTGTAAAACAGTCTTAAAAACGAGGTAGCAGCATTTAACACATTTTAACAAATAAAAAAATTCACCCAAAATCCTACTGTACCTCCTCTCCCAGTGTCTGTCTCTCTCACTAAACTGTGAGCATCTAGAGAACAGAGACTGTCACCACCTCTATATTTCCCACCCTTAGTATAAAACAAGAGTTCCAAGGGGCTGGCCCTGTGGCGTAGCAGTTAAGTGCGTGCGCCCCGATGCTGGGGGCCCAGGTTCGGATCCCGGGCGCGCACCGATGCACCGCTTGTCAGGCCATGCTGTGGTGGCGTCCCATATAAAGTGGAGAAAGATGGGCACACATGTTAGCCCAGGGCCAGTCTTCCTCAGCAAAAAGAGGAGGACTGGCATGGATGTTAGCTCAGGGCTGATCTTCCTTACAAAAAACAAACAAGAGTTCCAATACAGGTTTGCTGAATGACTTGACATTTATAATCCAAAATTTTTAAGTCCTAATCTAAAAGCACACGTTTATACAAATGAAATAATGTATACAGTATTTCTGATGATGATGTTTTCACTTTATTTTCCATGTTCCTATCAGTCGTCATAAACTTAATGGCTGCATAATATTCCATCACACTTACAGTCTAGAAAATGATTCTAATACTGTCTTTGAAGGTTGTTTCCAGTCTTTTTATATTGTATAGCTAATGCTCCAGCAAACATACCTTGCCTTACAAGTCTCACAGATTTATTTCTTACTGGAAAAACTGGGCTCAACACTAGAAGTAGATAATCTTCTACAATAGAAGTGAATGTTAAAAGAAAAAGATTTTTACTCCATAGGCAGAATTTCGAAAGACAAAAAACACATACAAACAAACTAGAATTCTTTTCTGCAAACTCTAAGCAATTCAAATAAATCCTGTAACCACTATGAAATGCGTCGTCCAAAGTAAACTACGTTTTGTAGGACTACTTTACATATATTTAGGAAAGATACTTCTGGGGCAGGCAGTAAAAATTTTTAGGTAACAAACGAAATGTCTATTAGAACTTCAATGCTTTTGGAAGGAGGTGCACACTTAACCTCCACTTGCTTGGATTCACAGAGCTTGCTCTGACCTTCAGATTGCAGAAATGTAAACAACTTTGGGCTTCTGAAGATGCCTTGATTCCCTCTTCCCTCCATTTATAGATTCTAAGTAATAATCTACCTGGCCTTAAGCTTTGACCTTAGATAGAAGGAGCTATGGAAAAGCGTATTCTATTTTACAAACATGAAGCTAGTTTATACACATACTCATTTAAGAAATTTGTGTTGAGCATCTACTACTGCATCTCCGCAGTATGGCCCTTCAATGATTACCAAAATCATAAACCTGGTCTCCTTTATTTATTTGTTTGTTTATTTGGAGAGACGGAAAGGAAAGACAGAAAAAACGGTTAACTATATTATAATTTAATTGTTGTCCAAGTATGATTGCTAACAATCATCGCTAATAAGATAGAATATAAACTGTAAAAGGTAACTTCATTTTGGGAGGAAGGAGCCTTTGAGGCCACCCAGAAGATATGCTCAAATATGTAATTTTTAAAAGAAACACACTATTTAATTTATATTTTGTCTGTCAAATTTTTCATGAAGCCCAGTATAATTTCGTATCGTTTGCTTTACAGGTTTTTTCATACACACATAAAACAGGGACTCATCGAGACACATATAACAATTCAGTTATTTAAAACAGGAATTCTATAGGTGTTTCTTGGAAATAGCGAAGCTTTCAACCCCAGAAGTTCCATTCACATACTGCATAACATTCCACACAGTACAAAAGCGCATGCCATGACAAAGACCTCCCAAGACAAACATACAAAGCCACGCTTCTAAAAATGCCCCTAAAGCGAAGTTCACAGCTGGCACTTGTGGCATACTCAAGCCACTGCTGAGGCAGCTGTCACAGGCCAATCACACACCCAAGAGTGCCAGCTTGCCACCTAAGAAGCCAAGCTGACGATGAGCGTACAAATCCCCTACCGAATAAAGGAAAGCCCCAAATCCCCACCCTGTAAAGCACAATGCCTGCACTACCTGGAAAACTCTCTAAAAAAGTGAAAGGTTGGAGATTTAGAAGCAATAAATACCAGTTTATAGCGGAACAATAAAAGAGGGGTTCTGTTTGGGCATTCACGAGAAAGGAACCACACCACCCAATCACCACGGAAGTATCATCTGCTAGATAGTAACACCAGGCTTTTTCAATTGGAAAAGGAAAAAGGAGGGCGAGGGGAAAATGCAGACCCTGCAGCTCCTCCCTCCTCGGCAGCGCACCGGGGCTGCTGCGATCCCCGCGTCCCAGGCCCCCTCCCACCGCTTCGCAGCCACCGCCTCCCACCGCGGGCCCGGCAGCCTCCGGCTCTTACCTTCGCTTTGCCGGCCTCCAGCTTCTTCTGTCTCTCCTCGTCCTCCATGGCCTCTGCGGAGAAGGCTGGGGGAAGACAGGGAGGGAGTCGGCGATAGAAAGGAAAGGTCGATTCAGACAGAGGTGAGACTGCAAGCTCCGCGGCCCAGGGAGCAGGGCCTAGCCCGGCGCTCCCCCTGCCCGGGGTGGAACCAGTCTCTGCGCTCACTGGCTGACCGTCCTCAATCACACGAGCAGCGCGTCACCGCCGCCGCCATCTTCGTCTCC